GTCGAGGGACAGGCCCGACTTGGCCCCAGGGTCCCGCTCGCACGAGGTGCCCACCCTGGACTGCGCCGCGCGGGCAGCCTGGGCCCTGGACCTTCCTGGGGCCGCTCCGCTGGCGCCCTGGGCCGCTCCGCCTGTAGTGAAGTGGCGACGCTGGCCTCCCGAGCTGCTCACCTGGATCTGGCCTGATGGGCCTGTTTTCCACCACCACCACCACCACCAGAAGTTGGAGGAGGAGGAGGAGGAGGAGGAGTGGAGTGGAGCAATCGGACGTAGTCCGTTCGGAACCCAGAGATGCCAGGGGGGCCATCCAGTTTTTCTCGGAGGGCCGTGGGGGGCGACATCCCACGGCCCACCGCGACAGGCCCCCCTGGCCTCGCAATTTACTCAGAGGCAGCTCCCGCCGCGTAGGAACCGATCGCGGCTTCGGCTGCCGAAACGTGCAAGGCTTCTAGCACAGACTTGCTGGGACCCGTTCTGGACGGGTGGAGGCCTCGCTTGATCCTGCTGAGGTTCTCGAGGCCTTTGCCAGTGGGTCCCATGGCCCTGCGCTCTCCGACTTGGTGGGAGAGAGGGCACGGCAAAAGAAGGCTTTTAACTTGGTGCGTGGCAGTGTGGCCGCACTTAACACAGAAAAACAATTGCCACTTGGGGATGGTGGCCAAGGTGTGGGAGGGGTGGATCAACTTGCCACTGATCACACGGGGTCCCCTCGACCACAGCACTTCACCACATGCGGCGAACTCGGGGAGGGGGCTAGGCGGTACACATTCAGTGGCGGCAGCAGGAATAACATGGCAAGCATCAACGATGATGAGGCAGGCAGGGCATCTCCATTTGTCTGCACAGCGCTCGAATTTGTGCTGAGAAGCCGCGATCGCGGTCTGCAACTGCGAGCGCGGGGCAGCCTCCTGGTGGGGTTGCCTCTCTGGCCACTGCCCTCGGGGGTCCGAATTCTTGCCTAAGGTACGTAGAATCAGTCGCCCTCTCTGTCGGACGATGGCAGCGATAGCGTCGTATTCATCGGTCCTGGGGACGGGCGGGAGGGCGAGGGTGGCCGACTTGTGGGCCGCTCTTCCCGCAAGCTCGTCGGCATGCTGGTTGCCGAGAGCCAGAAATTTTTGGAAGCCATGCAGCGTGAGGGGATCGGCGTGAGATGGGGTCCAGAGCACCGTGACAGAGGCGCCGCCGCCAGATCGATCTTGCACGAGGTGCCGAATTCTCAGCCAGAGATCTCCATTCTTATTCTTGCCTCTGAGGCTGCCAGGTCTGAGACATCTGCCATTCTGCCAGCCGCGCTGCAGGGCTAGATGATCGGTAACAAACGTAAACTCCTGGTGGCACGTCTCCAGTGCCAAGCAAAACGCATGCAATTCACCTCTTGGGACAGTCTGGCGGGGGCCTGGGAGGGGGGCGAGGAGGCCCGCGTGGAGGGTCCAGGAGGCCGAGGGAGGGTCCCATCGGAGGGCCGCGAGGCCAGAACCAACACGGCGTCGCCTGACGTCGTCGGAAAATGCGCCTCCAGACCCGTCGCCGAAAAGAAATAACACGCCCTCAGCGTTACGAGCTTCTTCCCATGACGGCAACCCCTCCCGCACCGCACCAACGAACTCCCACCCGTCCCTCCCAGTCAATGGCTCGAACGCGGGCGTAGTGAGAGCGACAGGGGGGATGCCGCGGAGCCAAAGGGCAGGGTCTGCATTGGCTCCCGCCACGGCTCGCGGTAGGTAGTTTGTCGCTGGCCTCAAAATCAGGTCCCACATTCGCCTCGCACTGCCACATTCGGTGAAACAAGGTCTCAGGTACTCCTGCACTGCATCTGTCACAGTTCTTGTCGATCTGGTAGCCCGCGTTGTAGAGGCGGTCCCTGGTCCATTGTCCACCACTGATGACGGTGTTGTTGAGGGCCCAATCGCTGAAATCTCCATTTGCGAGGAACCTCCTTTGTTCGATGCGTATGGTGACCATGTCCGCGCCTCCAGCCAGCGTGTCACCATGGTCGTGCGTGGCGGCCTGAGTCCAGAGGAGCCTGTGCAAATCCTCGCTGAGGTCCTGCAATACTGCGTGGATGTCGGCGTCGAGGAGATCAGGGTCATCGGCGGGGGGGAGGTTCCACTCCTCGATGTAGCCGTCCTTCGTGCGTCTCCACGTAGTAGCTGTAGTCGGGTCCCAGCTGGCCTCCAGCAAGGTCGCGATGGCCGCGCCTGTGGGCCCTTTGACCCTGCACCACAGCTTGGGGCCCGCGGCTAGCAGGGTGGTCTTGATCCTTGGCCATGCTCTGATAATCCTGGCGTGCGTGCTCGGGTGCCGTATCCAATGCTGCAGCCACGCCTCGATGAATTCGATCCTGAGGGAAACTCCTGGGTCCATGCCGTCGAAGGTGGCGCCCAGGAGAGAGGTGAGGCATCGGCCCGCTGCTGCTCCCGTGGCTGCAATAGCGGCCTGACGCCGCCATCGTAGTAGAGCGTGCCGAGCGAGACCGTGCACTTGATGACCGAATACCCCTTCGGGGAGAGCTCCAGTACGCCAGAGTCCTGCTGAGATTCGAGCCTGCAGGGCAGTACTCCGTAGTCGGTGTATCTTACGAAACCTAGCTGCGGCTGAGCTCTGTCGCTTCCTGGCTTTGGCTTGTACCCGTCGTGTAGCCGCGGCCGCGTCAACTCCGAGGTCGACGGCCGCGGCGGTCGCAGTGACTGGGATGTCGTACCGCCGCAACTTCTTAGCTAGCAACTTGCGGACCTTGGGTGTGGAGCCAATGAGGACCGTCTTGTCAGAGATGGGCAGCTCGAACTCCTTCAGACCGTCGCAGAGCGTCTTAGCTGCGCTGGGGAGGTGCTTCAGCAATGTGCGTAGGACTCCCCCGGCTCGAAGGACCGTGTCGTCAACAAAGGTCCACATCTGGGCTAGCTCTGCCTGAGCTTGGGCTTGCCGTAGAATAGGAAGTAAAATAAGTCTTGCCAGGGTCGTGCCGTGCGGGGAGCCTGCGATGATGCCTTTGTAGGCGAAGATTGGCATACTCACCCATTGTCTACTGCGCAAGAATCTGGGCGCCAGGTATAGCTGTACTTCCAGTAGAAGAATGATGGGGGGGAATCCGCAGTTGAGGCCAACCATGATGAGGTTGGCCAGCTTGATATTGTCGTAGAACTTCTGGATGTCTAATAGCAATGTGGCTGACTGTACGCCAAGTGCTGAGGCTGTCTCGTCTAATAAGGCTCTATGTAGAGCTGCCTGGAGAGCTGAGGAGCCTTTGATGGCTGTAGTCCAGAAGTCGTCCAGGCCTTGGGTCCAGGATGTTGACGCAGTCGATCTGATGCGAGACCAGAGTCTGGCCATGTGCGGTAGCATGCCGAGGACCCTGTCACCTCCAGACTTCTTGGCTGCGAGGGCTGCCATAGTGCCTGAGATTTGTAGTGGCCAGATGCCTGCATGCTCAACTGCGTTGAGGATGTCCGCATAGGCTTCGACTGCTGGTTCTGGTAGTCGATGGAGGTCGCGCGGTCCAAGGGCGTCAACTCCATGAGCTTTGCTGGGTGGCATGCGGCCGTGGAAACGGTGTACGATTTCGGCTGTGATGGGCTCGAGTGGTTGTCGGGCGGCTGCTGCCTTTGCCAGTGTCAACGCCTGTAGGATGTCGTCGGGGGTCTCGGTGGCCTGCCATACTTGATGCCATTGTTGCTTTTTGCTGTCCATGATAACGGTGGGGTCGGCTATGGTCTGGTTGGTCGTGTAGGCCTCGATGTGGCGTACGGGCGCGGGCTTGACATGGGCATGTAGTACGCCAGGGCGGTGTTTCCATTGCTTGGCGAGCCAAGCTCCGTAAGCCCTCTTAGACTTGGCGAGGGCTGCGGAGAGCGCTCTGGAGGCCCAAGTAGCGGTAATAGTGACCAGGTCGTCGGTGTCCTCTTTGTCCAACTGCGGGGCCCAGACAAGAGCGAACCAGCGGAAGATGGTGTCCTCGTCCTTCTCGAACTGGAGGTCATGGAAGTGAGTGTTGAAATGGTCCGCGCGCTGCTGGATGATGGAGGCCTGCTGCTGCATGAGCGCTGCGTGCTTGGGCTTGTCGTGGAGCGCTGCGTAGCGCTTGATGAGGGTGAGCGTGATTGCCCACCATTCCGACTGTGGATCATGAACGTGTACACGGCCTGGGGCGGCGGCCGTCTTCTTCCAAGACAACTGGTAGCCTTGGGCTCGGCCTGTGAAGGCTGCGGCTTCCTTGGGGTCGATCTGGTGATGGCTGATCATGGTGTTCTCGAGCGCCGTGACCCATTTGGCGTACTGGCGGTTGAGGTCGTCGGCCTCGCGTGGCCAGTGGGTGTACACGAAATGCGCGTGGGTCTGCTTACAACGTGTGGGTACAGCTTGATGCCAATGTACCTCCCAGAGGTCGCTCGGGATATCGTACGGGATGGGCTCCTGTGCTGCTGGCTCGTCCTGTGGCTGGAGCTGTGCAGCTGCTTGTTGGAGTTCAGGAGGTAGATCGCGTAGGCGTTCTGCTCGAGCTTCTGCTGTTTTACGTTTCTTGATGGCGGTCTTGCTGTCAGGGTCTGGTGGGGTCCTGGGTCTGTCCACTGTGGGGAATGCCCTAGGGGTATTGATCGACTGATACCACCAGGGGTCTGCGCTGCCTGCGCGAACTTCAAGGCCCACGTGGGTGGCCCAGGGGACGGTGGGGCATTGGCGAATGGAGAACGTGTGCTCGATGCCAGTCTTGACCAATGCGAAGTCGAGCGTGAGACCCTGTCCCTTGTCGCACGTGGCGGTTCCAGGTGCTCGCACGATGGTAGCATTCCATTTGGCAGGCCACTCTGTTGCTGCAAGCTGCTCAGGTGTCATATTCCAATCGGCCAGGATGATCCACGGGTCAGTGAGCATAGTAACGAAAGCTCCCAGAGATAGTAATTTCTCGTGGACAGCTCCCTCGATCTGTCTGTGGGGTTCGAGGTACGCTGCAATAACAACTAGATTGCCAGAGCGCCTATGCCAAACCATAGGCGTGAAGCCTCGGAACGGGTCGGGCTTGCGCTGGGAGATGGCCAGGTCGCGGAGGTGGTTGAAGGTCGTGGCCTGGACGTGGTACCTGGATAGGATCATCTCGCCACCCGTGTTGCCTCCTTCGGATCTGCTGGTCGGCGTGGCTGTAGTGGATGATATCCTCCAACCATCCGCTGCTAGCTTGTCGTAAATGAGGGGGGCTTTACCATGCGAGATGTGAGTTTCAACGAATGCCACCATCTGATACTGTTTGCCTGGCCCTGCCAGCCATTTCTCCGACTGCGGCCCCCACTGTGTAATGTTGGAAAAGAACAGGGAGTGGTCTGACGGCGTGGGATTCATAAGGCCTCCGTGTTGGTGGGCGGGTGTGGGGTCGGGTGTCGGCCTGCTAGGCTTCCATGTGCCTTCCTCTGCGGTCGAGTCGATGGCCTTCGCCACCTCATCGCCCCCTACCAAGGACTGCGTCTTGGGCGGGGCGGCATCAGGGACGGCTCGCGCGGGTCGCTGCGGCTGCCCTGGGTCCCACGTCACTGTGTCGACGGCCTGTGCCGCCTCATCGCCCCCTACCGAGGACAGCGTCTCGGGCGGAGCGGCATCAGGGTCGGCAAGCGCGGCGCGCTGCGGCTGCCCTGGGTCCCATGTCACTGTGTCGACGGCCTGCGCCGCCTCATCGCCCCCTACCGAGGACAGCGTCTCGGGCGGGGCGGTGTCGTACTGCGTTGTGGCTGCGAAATCGATGTGGCCGTCCAACTCGGCCAGCTCGTCGAACGGGTCGAGGACTGCGTCCATTGTGTTGATGATCTGTGGGTTGTCGTAGATCCTGGTCTGTGACGGTAGGCGTCCCATCTCACCAATCCGTCCAGGATGGGGTAGTAGTCGGCTAAAGAGACTGCTGGGCACCAGCCACGGCGGTCGCAGTAGGCTTGCGCAGCTGGCTGAGCATCTTCTGTGCCTTGTCTTCGAGGTCGGGGTCCTTGTTGATCGCTGGAACAGGCTGCTCGGCCAAGCTGCCGTCAGGATTAGCGCCAGCAGCAGGTGCGGCCTCGCTTGGCGCCGCTGGCGAAGAGGCCGCAGAGCCATCAGCGTCTGCTGCGGCTGGCGCTGGGGGCTCGCCTGCTGCCGCCGATGCGGCGGGCTTTGGTCCACCTCCCTCTCGGGCATGACCGTCCTCATCGGACCGCTGTCGCTTGGAGGCGAAGCGCGTGCGCATGGTGCTGGCCTCTGCGCGGAGCTGGCTGATGCGGCTGGCGGTGTTGCCGAAGAGCTCGGTGACCTTGGCCTTGAGCTCGGTGGCGAAGCGCTGCCGGAGGGATTCCCATGCTTGGCGGTCGCTGTCGTCGATGTCGAGACCTTGGAGATCGAACGCCGAACCCGCTTCGATGGATATGTCCCCGTCCTCGAGGAGGCTGGTGAGGTTGAACGTCGGGTTCTGCTGCGAGGTCGTGGGAGTGGCCGTGCCGCCCTTGCGCGCGACTTGGAGTGCATCGAGGGCGGCCTGGGCCTCGGCCTGGGCTTCGGCCAACTTGTAGGCTGCCTCCTCCGACGCAGCCTTGCGCTCGGTGTACCAGCTGAGCGCCTTCTGCTCGCTCTCGAGCAGCCTGTCGAGGTTGTTCTTGCAGCGGCGCTCCGTGGCCTGGGCGCGGCTGTAGATGTCGTTGAGGTCGGCTGGCTTCTGCGGCTGGGGCGGCGGAATCTGCGACTTGATACCGTCGATGGCTGCCTTGTCGATGTGTGGGGCGATCGCCTGTAGCTCCGCGAGGATGTCCTCTGCGGAGCGCGCCTTGGGGGTGTCGTTCTTGTCCCACCAGTCGTCCTCTTGGTTCTTGCCATTGCCGTTGCCGCGGCGGCGGCGGGACTTGGGCCATGACGCCCACGGTTCCCATCCTCCGTCAGGGCTGGGCTGCTGGGAGCGGCTGGAGTCCTCCTGGGCTGCGGCTTTGGCTCGGGCCGCCCAGGCACCTTGAACTGGAGGCGGGGAGTCTGTCCACGGCGCCAATGCTTTGCTGCACCAGTAGCACGTCTGGTTGGTCTTGTAGTTCCAGGAGTATGAGCAGGCATAGCAATTGACGTAGGCACTGCGCTGTTGCGGGGGCGCCATGGACGGGCTGAGGAACGGAGGAAGCTCACCTGCGGGCTGCAGGAGGCACACGGAGGGTTGAGAGCTGTCGGGCTCAAGAGCCCTGGCACTGGCCGCGGACTAGCGGTATCCACTTTTTCCCCTGGGGAAATAGGCATCTTGAGCCAAAATGGCTACGGAGGAGGAGGAGGAGGAGGAGGAGGAGGAGGAGGAGGAGGAGGAGGAGGAGGAGAGAGATGAAAGGGAATGAAGATAAGAGGAGAGAAAGGGAAAGGAAGGAGGAGGAGGAGGAGGAGGAGGAGGAAGGTAGGAGGAGGAGAGGAGGATGAAGGAGGAGGAGGAGGAGAGAGGAGAAAAAGGAGAGGAGGAGGAGGATAGGGAGGGGGAGGAGGGAGGTAGAGATGGAGAAGGGAGGAAGGAAGGAGAGGAGGGAACGAGGGAGGGAGGGAGGAGGGAGGGAGAAGAGGGAGGAGGGAGGGAGGGAGGCCCACTTTCTCCTCCCTCTTCCCTCCTCCTCATCCTCCCTCCACTTCCTCCTCCTCCTCCTCCTCCTCCTCCTCCTCCTCCTCCTCCTCCCCCTCCTCATAATCATTACCATCACAATCACCATCAGCAGTACGAACACCAGCCCCCTTATCAAGCATCAGCATTGTAAGCATCAACATCACCATCATCATCAGCATTATTAGCAGCATAATTATCATGATCAGCAGCAGCAGCAGTATCATAATCACCATCATCGGCATCGTACCCATCGTCACCATCAACATCACCATGATCATAAGTATGATCATCCTCATGTTCGCCATCATCAAAAGAATCATCTTCATCAGCAGCATCATCAGCAGCATTACCATCATCATCAGCATCATCATCATAGTCAACATCACAATCATCATCAGCATCAGCAGCATCAGCTGCACTATCATCATCATCATCATCATCATCATCATCATCATCCTCATCATCAGCATCAGCATGGTCATCGCCATCATCATCGTCAGAATCCTCAGCATCATCATCAGCATCATCATCATCAGCATCATCATCATCAGTACCATCACCATCAGCAACTGCAGCATCAACATAATCATCATTACCATCAGCATCGTCGCCGTCATCGTCATCAGCAGCATCACAATCATAAGCAGCAGCACCACCATCACCATAACCATCACCATCACCGTCACCATCACAATCATCATCATCAGCATCATCAGCATCACTATCACCATCAGAACCACCATCAGCATGGCCATCACCACAATACATCATCATCGTCATCACCAGCATCAGCATCATCATCATCATCATCATCATCATCATCATCATCATCATCATCATCATCATCGTCATCATCATCATCATCATCATCATCATCATCATCATCATCATCATGATCATTATCAGCATCATCATCAGCATCATCGCCATAATCATCATCATTCTCATCATCGACAGCATCATCGTCATCATCACCGACATCAGTAGCAGCATCATCAACATCGTCATCGCCATCATCATCATCATCATCATCATCATCACCATCATCATCATCATCATCATCATCAGCACCGCCATCTCGAGCATGAGTTGCGTCATCACCATCATAATCATCGTCGTTTTCGCGGTCGTCATCGTCATCATCACAATCATCATCATCAGCCGCATCCTCATCCTCGTCATCAGCATCCTCATCGTCAGCAGCAGCATCATCAGCACCATCACCATCGTCAGCCGCAGCATGATCGTCATCGTCGTCAGCATCAGCATCGTCATGCGCATCATCAGCAGCATCATGATCCTTAGCATCATCAGCAGCGACAACATCGTCAGCACCATCATCGGCACTATTGTCATCATCAGAGGCATCATCGTCATCAGCCGCAGCCTCATCATGATCAACGCCATCATCATCATCATCATCATCATCATCAGCAGCATCATCATCCTGATCAGTATCAGCACGATCATCAACTGCATGATAATCGTCATCGACATTGTCATCGTCATCATCACCATCGTTATCATCAGCAGCATCGTCATCATCATCACTGGCATAATCATCAGCCTCACCAGTATCAACGCCACGCCATCATCATGAACCGCCTCCTGATCACCAGCACCATCATCATCATAATCATCATCATCATCATCATCATCATCATTAGAAGCAGCATCCCCGTCGCCGTCACCATCATAATCATCATCGCCATGGTCATCATCATCAGCATCATCATAATCATCAGCAGCATCATCTCAATCATCACCATTGTCATCGACATCGTCCCCTTCACCATCATCATCATCAGCATCATCACCAGCAGCGACAGCATTATCAGCAGCATTATCATCAGCGGCACCATCATCATCATTATCCTCATCATCAGCATCATGATCCTCAACCGCAGCGCCACCATCTCCGTCAGCAAAAGTAGCATCATCGTCGTCAGGGTCATCATCATCACCAGCATCCTCCTCATAATCATCAGTAGCAACATCATCAGCAGCAACATCATCTTCGTCAGCATCAGCAGCATCATCGTGATGGTCAGCATCATTATCAACATCATCATGAGTATGAAAAAATCAGCAGCATTATGATCCTCATCATAATCATCATCTGTCTCACAATCATCAACAGCAGCATCATAGGAATCACCATCGTCATCACAATCAGCTTCACCAGCATGCGTATCAGCGTCGTCTGCATCATCATCATCACCAGCATCAGGATGACCATCATCACCAGCATCATCACCATCGGAATCAACAGCATCGTCACCATAACAATGAGCAGCATGACCATCATCATCATCAGACTCGTCATCGTCATCATCACCATTACCATCATTAAAGTCGTCATCACCAGTATTATCAGCGGCACCGTCGTCAGCAGCATCAGCATCGTCATCATCTTCATCATCGTCATCGGCATCAGCATCGGCATCATCAACATCGCCATCATCGGCATGCTCAACATCTGCAGCACCAAGCGTCAGCAGCAGCATCAGCCACATCATCATCAGCAGCAGCAGCAACATCATGATAATTGTCCTCATCATCGTCATCATCAGTTGCAGCATCATCATCAGCCGCATCATCGGCAGCATCATCGTCATCGGCAGCATCATCATCAGCATCACAGCGGCAGCATCACCAAATCACAATCGTCATCATCATCATTACAATCAGCAGCGTCAGCAAGCAGCAACGTCGCCAGAAGCCGCACCATCATCATCAGCATCATAAGCAACATCAGCATCATCATCATCAACATCATCAGAAAAAGCATCATGAGCAGCAGCAGCACTATCATCAACATCGCCATCGCCGTCAACATCATGACCATCATCGTGTTCATGAGCACGACCATGACCATAACCAGCATTACGGGCATCATTATCACCATCATCATCATCATAATCAGCAGCATCATCATCATCAGCACCAGCATCGTCATCATCATCATCATCATCGTCATCATCACCGTCATCAGCATAGCCAGCACAACCACCAGCATGATCGTGGTCGCAACCAGCGTCATCATCATCATCATCATCCTCAACAGCATCATCAGCATCAGCATCACCATCGTCACCATCATCATCGTCGTCATCAGCATCATCATCACCCCTTTTCAGAACCATCCTCACCATCATCCTCAACATCGCCATCCTCGCCACCGTCACATTCACAACCGTCAGCATCATCATAAGCACCATCGTTACCATCTATCACCAGCGTAATCACCATCGCCACCATCATCATCAACAGCAGCATCATCAGCACCAGCATCGTCATCGTCATCGTCATGGTCAGCCTCATCATCACCACCAGCATCAGCCGCATCGTCAGCCGCATCGGCGCCCGAAGCATCAACATCATCATCATCGAGAGAGCGTGATCCACCGCCGCTTTACTGTGGAAAATTGCCAACCTTTTCCTCTGGAAACCCGGGGGTCGCCCCCCCCCCCCCTTCGAAAATCCCCCCCCCCCTGCTGGAACCCCTCCCCCCCCCCTCTCCCCCGGCAAAACCCCCCCCCTCCCCAAACCCCCCCCGCCCCCCCCTCCCGCTCGAAAACCGGGGGGGGTCACTACCGTTCGAACCCCTCCCCCCCCCCCCCTCCGGATGCCGAAAAAAAAACCGGGGGGGTCACTACCGGGTTCGAACCCCCACCCCCCCACCATCCCCCCCCCCCCCCCCCCCCCCCCCCCCCCTACTCACCGCCAGCAAACGACTCCCGGTCCCCACCACCGTCCGCATCACATCCCCCACTGGTGTTCCCAGCACCACTGTCCTCACCACCGCTGTCCCCACTGGTTCCACCACCGCCCCTACTGTCCCCACCAGTGGCCCCACCACTGTCGCACTGTCCCCGCTGTCCCCAGAACTGTTCCCACCACGGTTCCACTCTCTCCCCACTGTCTCCACGGCCCCAACCGCTGCCCGACTATCCCCACTGTCCCACTGACTCCTCCGCTGTCCCACTGAGCTGTCCCATTGTTCCCACCACTGTCCCCACTGTCCCCACCGCTGTCCCCACTGTACCTCTGTCCCATTGTCCCACCGCCGTCCTCTCCACCGCCTTCACCACTGTCCCCACCACCATTGTACCCTCCACTGTCCCACTGTTTCCACCTCATTCCCATTGTCCCCACACCACTGTCCCCACCACCACCGTCACCACCACTGTCCACTGTCCCCCCCTGTTCCCACCATTGTCCCACCACTGTCCCCACCACTACCGTCCCCACCACTGTCCCACTGTCCCACTGTCCCCACCACTGTCCCGCTATCCCCTCA